CCCCCCCCCCCCCAAAAATGGTATAAAATTAATTTAAGTACAGCGTTGCATGATGGAATAAATGTCAAAGTACTGCAGCGCTGAATAATGAAAAATGGCCAGGCCAGGAAGGGGGTGTAAACACCTGTCACCAAGTGGTTAAAAAGCTAATATGAACTAATTTCTATTCTCAGACTCCTTGGAGAGACACAGATTTTAAAGATTAGACCTTTGGATGGAATCACTTACCTTTATTATTCCTATTTGTTTGAAGTAATCAGCCACCTGATCTGGAGACACATCCTCTCCAAGACCTTGCACAAATATTGTATTATTGTCAGAATTGTCTCCATCATCTGGGGAGGGGTAAAAGGTAAAGTGTTATATGGTGTCTACAAAACCTCCTACATCAACAAGAACTAATAAATCTATGGGTATCTCAGAGGATATAAACTTAGCTTATGCCGTCTAAACCTGTTCTATAAAAACACACAACTTTTCCCTTAGGCATTGTCCCCTCCACTTGCAACCACCTGAAATGTCATTATGCAAATTACCCCATTTTCAATGGTCACCATCTGCATACCCATAGACACCCATCGTACCCAAGCATTGTCCAGTAAAGACCTACACATGTAATTTAGACACTGCACGTTATATTGGCTGGTGCATGCATTTATGCCACCAACTTAGAAGTGGAAAATAAAAAGATTTTACGGGAAGTACAAAACCTTAGAGTCCATTGAGGGACACGAATTCAGGAAGTCAGCATATATTGCTCCTTACAGGAGGTTGGGACACTGGCAAAACAGAAAAAGTTGTAAGCCAGTCCCTGAAGAACCCTTCTACTCAACATGCCTGTTTTGTGAGCAAGCAGTAGAAAAAGATTCTCTATTAAAAAGGAACACAGGAATCTACTAACAGTTGAGCCATCCAAAAGGCGTAGAACTGAGGTGTTGCCCAAAGGGGATTTGGGAACCACATTTTAAAGGAATCTGAAGGACCAAAGCCTTGAAGCCTAGATGAGGAGAATCGCTCTGCAAAACCGTGCTTTTCAAATTGGTCAAAGCAGTTCCCATAAGGATCATTATGGTGTTTGTTGCTTTTACCACGCCACCCAGTGAAAACTTCCATCTGAACAATGTGCCTGAATAATAGACTGAAGAGCTAACCAGCCATCTACCAAATCCAGATGGATTAACACACCATCTGTAGAGTAAAAAAACAAAAATCAGACCAAGCAGAAGAAGTGGTGAACCATTCTATAAAACAGGGGCCTATAAGGGATTCTACCCATTTGTCTGACTAAGATGTCAAACTGTGTCCAGAGTCACTACAGTCAATTCAAACTGGGATCTAAGGAGTGACTGCAACTGTTTGAGCCTCTAGATGCAGGGTAGAACACACTACATTCATTCAGATTAGAAACAACCACTTGTAAATCCGGAGACATTTGCAGTTGGCTTAAAAAAAAAAAACAACACAGGCTCGGCCAAGACTGTTGGGACTCTAATTAGAAATGGTACCTAGGGCCTCGGGCCTGGTCTGATTTAGGGTTGCTTCCTGGGATGGCATTGATTCACATTTAGAATCTCTATGTGCAAAGTGCTCCCGTGACTGGGCAAGTCTATAGTGGACACAGAGGACCCTCTGGACATAGGGAAGCCACAGTCTCACCCAACTAATGAAGACACTATAATTGAGGTCCCAGATTCTAGACTACAGGCATTGGTTCCTTCAAGGGTTACAAAATAAATGTCTCCAGAACCACTAGCGGAGTTTGGACCAAGGTCACCTGTAGCAGTTGGCCTGTGCTCTGTATGTCTTTGAAAATACATACTATGCCATGTAGCAGACTGGGGCTAGCTACAATCTGAGGCAAGACCTCAAGTATTCACAAACCCGGGCAGCTGGTGCCGATGGCTTCAGACAGCTGGGGGTGACCAAGTCACTGTAGGCAGGTAGTGGAATAAGTCTGGGTGAGTCATATGGCGCTTAAGGAGCAGGATAGTACTTCAATGCTGAATGGTGGGAAAGAGCTCTGGGAATGCACAGCACTCCACCTAGTATATGAAATCCACGCTCAATCCCACAGCCTTAACCCTCACTGCAGTAAACCAGCGATGATTGGAATTTAGAAAATGCACCTAACAGTGTAGCAGTCAGGTAACTCTCAATCCTTCACCCTGTATGGCCTTACTCACCAAGTGCCTTTTCAGATACAGGGTCACACCTGAGGCTGTGCCACAGCTCTGGACCAGGAAAGTGCTCCATGGCCAACTGTGCCCTGGGCTCTGCATTTTCTCCAGACATTTGTGTACCAAGGTCACATTGCATGCTAGCCCCACAACCAACCAGTCCCGCAGGGTCCAGGTATGACCTTCAAAGCTACAGCTGAGGATATACCAAACCAGATAGCTATGGGGAAACTAGCTTAAGAAGCGTTTTGGGATTCTTGACTGAAGTCACCAAGAAAAAAAAAAAAATAAAACCTCGAAGAAAGGCTAGCAAAAATTGGACTTTTCAGCAGAGCTTTACAGGGGGGATCCAACATCCTAGGACAATGGCAAAAAACCCCCCAAAAAACTGAGGCTTGCTGGGTAGAGGGTTATACAGGCAGGCTTAAACTTTGTTTGCAAGTTACCCAACCTCCTGTAGACAGCAGTACATCCTGTAACTAAATTTCTGTGTTCCTCATCAGATGAGAGAAAATCCAATAGGATGCTTTAGGTGGTGATGAAGGGGAGGTTAATGCAATGAAAAAAGGTATGACTACTTGACCTCTTGCTTTCAGCGGGCACTTGCAGCTCCAAGTTGACATCCTCAGATAACCCACCTTTGTTTTACCTCTACACCCCCTTACCTTGGTCAGGTGTGCTCCCATAATCCTTGGGGCCTGCAATAAATCAGAAAGAATATGGAACACTAAGTGAAAGCAGTAGTGCCACTTTGTTCATGCAAAGGATTTTCAATTCCACCAAATACTGTACTAATAAGCAAGTTACCAGTAAACTATCCCATTTACATATCAGGTGGACAGCTATTCGTTACCAATTTCTGAAAATTATACTATTCTGTTGACCAGCTGGCTTCAATACTCTGAGTGACCTGGAACAAGTACACAGATAAACAGTCTCAGCTTACAGCAGCTTATAATAGCAAGTTACAGGACAATTCTAGTATTGAAGGGGAAAAAAATGGTCTGCTTGACAGCCAGGCAAGTCTTTTCAGGAGAGTTCAGGAGAGTTTCGAAATGGCAACTACTAAGTTTTTCACATTGTTACCTTTCAGAAAAGGATTTTGACCTTTAAAAAACCCCCACTTCAACAGCCCATACAGACCAAGGAGGGTCTCCCTGCTCAGCCCTTTGTGGGTTTTAAAAATCAATACAAAATACATTTAGACTGCTAGAGCACATTTTGCTCATCTGTTGAATGTGGGACCCCTGCACAGTATGTTACAGTACAAAGCTTTAAAGAAACTCTTCTTAAAAAGGTAATTCATGGAAATGAGTAGCACTGAAAGGAAACATTTAAAATACATTTTTTTGTGCTTTCAGCTGCAATTTCTTTCCTATTTAAACACTTGCAATGGCCCATTGCAGGTTTAATAGGAAAAAAAATTGCAGCTGAAAGCGCAAAAAAACCTGCAAGCAAATTTGACTACTTCAGAAGAGACAATTCCCTAGCACATACCATTCCCTCTTAGCACATCACAGCCCTTTCCTCTTCTGCCTCAGCCTTCCCTGTAGCTGGAGAGAAATGATGGGGAATACTACAGAACAGGGGGTAGCCAACCTGTGGAACTTCAAGTCACAAGAAGAATTTGTAGTTAGACCACAGCCAGAGGGACAAAGTTTGGCTACCCCTTCTGTAGAACTTCACTTTAGGTGACATCTGAGGCTACCGGAATCACATCCAGGAAGGTGGGCGAAGCACTTACAGGTATAATCTTACGGGAAGTATTTTTAAAATAGGTTTGGCAACAGGGTCTATTTTTCTCCTTGATGTACTTTATTGATTCAGATATAAATACAGGTTGCCATGGACAAAACTCAAATTTTTCAGTTGATTATCCTGCAAATTGTCTTCCACTGCTACAAAAGCCATTATGCAAAACTGGTTAAAACTGAAGAGACTGTATGGCACCCACCTACAATAAAATGACTGCAACTGCCATAAGTTTAGTCAACAACTTGGCTGTCTCATAGGTAAAACTGTAGCAGAACCTCTAGTCAACCAGCAATGAAGGTGTACTTGTACATGCTGATAATTATGGACGGTTGGTGAGAAATTCTGATATCAAAACAGCGCAGTTTCACCGCCTTTGCACTTCAGGAGCAGGTGTTCATTGTCAGAACTCGTGTCCTGTACCAGAACAAATTTGTTTGACTTTTTGGGCAATAAAATATGAACATAAATGGAAGTAAATATTCTGGTGCATTACAGCCAACATAAGCAAGGATGCCTTGTAAGTGGCTACAATCGCTGCCTTTTACCCAAGATGGAAAAAAAGTAAAATGCACTATAAAACTGCCAATAAAGACAGCCGGAAGCAAAAAAACCCAAAAAAACGCAAAGTAACAAGTCTGCTGGATGAAGAAACCGAAAGATAAAAAAATTGCAAGCATGGGATCTTGTTAGTGTACAGGATAAAAAAACATAATCCAGGTAATGGGCTGAAGACTAAATATAATCTTTCGGCATATAATAAATTGTCAAAAAAAAAAATGTATGACACGAAAAGTTGAACAAAATGAAAAAAAAAAGTGTTCAATTTAAGCGAGTTTCAGTTCCTAATAGCATTGTGTTAGAATGGCACCCAAGGCAAACCCAAAGCGTGCAGGTTAGGTTTTCATTTCCCTGCAATGTATCAACAGCCCAAGTGTTGGCCTTGACCAATAACCAGTGCATACATTGCTTTAAGGGCTACTTGAATGTAATCAAAAATCAGAAAACATGTTCTGTGGCATGGCTAGACAAATTGCAGGCAGCCAACAACCCAAAAAGTTAGCTTTTAAATACTTTGATTTTATATACTCTACAGGTACATGCTGAAAGCCCATATAAAAAAGGGGGGGGGGGGGGGGGGGGGGGAAAATTTTCTTTAC